GCTTTGAGGAGTATGGCTGGAGTGACTCGGATGGATAAATTACGGAACAGTGTGATAAGAGAGCGTTGCGGCGTGGAAGAAGATATAGTGACAAAGATAGAGAAAGGGATGGTTCGGACATGTAGAGAGAATGAATGAAAGAAGAGTGACGAAACAGATTTATAAGGCGAGTGTGAGCGGGCAAGTTGGTATGGGCCGACCAAGGAGAACTTATCATGACCAAATTGAGGCCATCCTAAAGAAGGGCCAAGTCAAGAGTACCCTTAACCGACGAGCGTGTATGAAAGCATTGATGCGTGTTGATGAGACGAAAGATGTGTGTCAGGACCGTAGCAGGTGGAAGACTGTTGTCTCTGCCTACCCCGATGGGAAAAAGGCGTGAAGTATATGTATGTATGTATGCTACCTAGTAGCGTAACAAGTACCTGTTGTTCCAATTTCCTCTGCACAGCTTTAGTCTCTGCTTCGGCCTGCTTTATTCTCTCCTCGGCTTCCTTTCCTCGTGTCTTCATTTCACTTTCCATGGCCTGAAATCGAATGATAAAAAATTAAATAATTGTCTAAAATTTGGGCGATGGTTGCTTTTTCTCTGGTTGATTGATCGAATCTCTGTAGCGGCATGTACCTATGACCTTTATTCCTACAAAGCGATGTGAAACAATATTTTCGGATATATGCGTTTTTATGGAATTGGAAAAAACGTAAACAAAATAGCAGTGATCATAAACTTTTTCTTCGGGCAACAAATTACTGTAAAGGAAAACATAATGAGAATTGATGACCAATTAAATTTGATTATTTCTCAAGACACGAAATACTACAAAAAATGTGAACATTAAGCTTACTATACATTGGCAATATATAATTGATTTAAAAACTATTAATATGTGTTTTCCTAATGGGTAGGTATGGTACAAAGCAAATAAAAAATAATATACAATTTTGAATTATATTTTTTTCTTAAAACTAATGTTACAATTTTTGAGAATATTTTCGATTTCTTACTCAAATTCCAAAATTATGCTCTAATCATAATTAACACAATTCGTACTTAAAAATCTAAACGTAGATACTCTACAGTTATTGTTAAAAATAGAATATGTATTGGTTTTACGACATGAATTCCACTAGAATACTTACAGCAATCTGTGCCCTGCACTCCTTCTGCACGGCCTCCTTCTGATTCTCCTTATCCAGTCGCTCTGCCGCTATCTTCACTCTGAACTGCCGTAATGTGTTCTCGGCGTCATCCAGCTGCTTGTGGAGCTGCTCTATTGTTTTTTTATAACTGAAAAAAATAAAAATTATAATATTTTATGGCCAGTAACACATAAGAGTCTATTTTTAAAACAATCAAATAACATACATTTAGCGCCATCTAGTGGAGATGAGTGGAACTATAGTGAACTGCCCAACAAAATTACAATGTTATTGTCTTTGTTTTTTTATATACTAATAGCAAAACAATAAATAATAATTAAATTGTAACTAAATATATAAAATAAAGAAACAAAAGGGTAAATAAATGAAAAAAAAAGTTGCATCGGCCGGGAATCGAACCCGGGCCGCCCGCGTGGCAGGCGAGCATTCTACCACTGAACCACCGATGCTGACGATGTACACATTGAAATTCGTGTAGGTATTTCACTAACTTAACATTATGTAACGCTAATGTAACAAACGCAATAATGGCTGTCATGATTAATCATTTGTCTATTGATATCGTTTCTCTATTGATTTCAAGAAGTATTCGTGTATTGAACAAAAATAATATGATACACAGGCTTATTGTAAACGGGATTACGTATAAAATAAATATTAAAACATGGTATTACTTTCAATAATTTCAATTTTCGACGCTTCACGACTAGGAGGGCCCGCCATTGGCTATATCACATTAAGGCTGGTATGGTTAGATCATATGGCTAGAGCCACTTTTTGACAATCATGTGGCGCTGTTTTGCAAAGGTGTGTAAAAGTGAAATAGTACGTAAAAATAATGGTAAATAATTACAACATTTCAAGGTCATATATAAGTTTAGGAAATCATCAGTTTTATTAACGTAAATCGCAATGCGGCCGTCAAAAAAGCCTTACATATATCGACGATGATGCCTATCTTAAAAAGTACACGTTAGAAATAAATATAGACAGTATTTCCACTATAAATTTAGTATATTTTTTTTGCAAAATTTAATACTTAATGTTTTAGCAGATATTTGTAAAGTGTTTTACGATATGAACAGTCAAATGTTGAGTTACGTTTTGCCAGTACATGCAAAATTTCATTCTACGTCGATTGGCATTGAAAAATAAAAATCACCTAAAACTAAGTTAGGAGGTATTGGTACTTCGTCGTAGATAACATGTAACAAGAATGAAGTCACCGTGAGTGCGAAGCGCACAACTTCTTTTTTGACTCGAGTACATATATTGTCGTGAAATGTTAAATACTATTTCAAGTTACTACACTCGAATATAAAATAATGCAGAATGAATATAAAAATAAATCTAGAATATTTAAATAATAAAAATTGCCACCGAAATTATGTAGTGAAAACTAACCTAAAAATTACCCAAAGAAATCTACAACAATACATATCGCACTCCAAAATTTCTCTATATTTGTATGTCATTCGTATACGATACAATCTCAATGAGACGGGACAACATTGTCGCTTTGAGATTAAATAGGTAATATTAATATAACTTAAACTATGTTATTTGTCATGTGCTATATGCTTTGAAGTAGATTTTAAAATAAAATTTACATCGCAAATTACGAGCGCACACGAGGGAGCTCTCAAGGTACCATAGAACTTGTCAACTTATATCTCAGGGTGACGGGCGCAGTGGCTATGCACCTCAAATCTTTGCGATTTAAGGCTCTGAGTGGCACTGCAACTGCTATGGACAAGCATGTCGCTTACCACCAGACGCACGAATTATTCGTTCGGTCACTTAAAAAAAAAGTGAATATCAGTCTCTCAACTTAAATTATTCGTATACAATGACTTACTGTTCATTTTGCATTTGCGTTGTGTAAAGCACATCCTGTTGTGACGAGTTAGTAGCTTGCAACATCGCCAAAGAGTGCTGAAGTGACGCCATGTGTTCCGTCGCTCCCTGCAATAGAATTCACATTTAGAATATGTTATCTTCAAGGTCAACAGCTCACTGCACAGAGTTCAAAAATCCTTGCAGATCAGACATTTCGAGTGAAGATAAACTTACTTCCAAACTTCTCGATTTTAATATTAAGAAATGATAAAAATTATTATAACAAGAAAAATATTTTCTTTTTTAATAACACTAAGCGACGGGACGAACAAGTGGTGCGTTGGGTGGTAAGCGACACTTCTATCCATAACAGTTGCACTGCCACTCAGAGTTTTAAATCGCAAAGATCTTAGGGGCACTGCCACTGCCCCCGTCACCCTGAGACGTAAATTGACAAATCCAATGTGCCTGTAATTTCACCAGCACCCTTGCCCCTCTAAACTGGAACACTCGACATTACTTCAACCGTTTGTGTTCGGTTTTCTAAAAACGATCGCGGTAGGTCGCTACCACGTCCTCGTAGACCGTAGTACATAAGCTTTTTTATAAGTAGGTCATGACTTATGACGTCAAAAGCTTTGGACAAGTCGCAGAATATGCCAGCTATTTTACACATGTCATCGATGCCGGTAGTGATACAGTCAATTGTTTTATATGCTGTTGTTGTAGTGGACATGTGTTGTCGGTATGCAAATTATCTGTCGGTCAGTAAAGTATTGGTTTCGAGGTGGTACATTAAGTGCTGTGACAAAATCGATTCTATAATTTTGGAGATGTTAGGTACTATCGATATTGGCCTATAGTTGTCGACCGATGTTTTGTCACCCTTACTTTTATATACTGGACACACTCTTGTGTACTTAAGCACGTCGGACTGAATACGAAAAAAGTCGAATTGAATAATGTATATGAAGTTTCCAATCGGCATTGCATCCGACTGGGAACTACAGCCCAATCCCTCTCATTGTTAGAGGAGGGAGCTAACTATTCTTTTAGGCTGCTAACAGATTGACTGCATGTTTGCAGATAATCCGTGTAGTCGTTATCAATTTCAAGCAGCCGAGACCTCGACTGCATGAAATTGATTACGACTACACGCATTAACTGTAAACAGCCTTATTATAATAAAATTTAATTTAAACAGTTCACAACCCACCACATACGACCTTGCACAAGTAGTATTGTTCCAGTTCAAATTGTGGTTCATAAGCTTTTAGCTAAAGCGCATAAATTAGAAAAAAAAATCTTTCCACTCACAGTAAGGAGTAAGTGACAATGAGGCCTATATGGCTTCACGGGGAGTCAATATGTTAAACAACACCACAATACTGTGAAATCGGTATATACGTTGGAAAAGGATCATAATAATTCCATAAATGTTCAACTGTATTGTATTTATTTGTATCAATTGTATTTTACATATTATTTAGTTACGATGTTATGCTTACGTACTATCAACTTAGCCTTAAGAACTTACAATTGCGTTTGGATATTTGTCTGTAAGTAATATGTAATATAATTATACAATCCAAACTAATATTATACATGCGAAAGTTACGTTGTTACACCTGAATTGCTGAACCAAAGCACAATGGCGAACTCCCATATAAATTTTTGTTGACATAATTTGTATGCATCTAATTATGAAAAATATATGAAAATACAGTTGAAATTCCTGAACAAATTTGGTATTGGGTTTACTATATATAATTATTATATAAATAAATTAATTGAAAGATTACCGTACAGATGGTACAACTGAATAGTGAAATGCATACCTGTAACGCAACAGAATGTGAGTGCAGTCTCTGTTCCAGACAGGTCATTTTATAGCCGTATAGCTCCATCACGCTTGACGTTGCGATGTCCGAGATCTGCGACAATATAAGTCTCAGTATTATTGATGCAAAGATCGAACACAAAGAAAAATTCCTTCGACGCGAACCAGCGTCTGTCGCCTCCACGTGGTTACAAATCAAAATAAGTCTTGAAACTATTTTTCCGCATTTAAATCGCGTATATTTGTATTTTTCAAACAAACCAATGTTTCGGGCCCTTTACAGGTCCCAAATCTGCGAGCATATCATGGATAAACCTACACATTCAATGAAGTTTGACAAACCACAGGTCCTTGCAAAAGAAGTCCGTTATATACCCAGGATGCTGTGAGAGGCCATTGAAATTAAAAAACATTCTAATTTCCACAGGGAAGATGGTTTCTCCGTACCACCAGTTTGGGATCCAATATTTCCTCTAATAAAAAATCCCAAACAGACATGTCTTATGTGCAGTACAAATTTTATGTTTTAATTTATTCTAATTTCCAATATTAATTAATAATAAATTTAACTTAATAAAAATTCATATTGTTAAAATAATTTGTAATACATAATGTAGCGTAAATTGGAATGTTTCTTTGTAAAATTAAAAATAAGGTATATTTAATTAATATATATATGTAACTATAGTGACAAAATAAGGTGGTTTGCATTAATATTAGACATCAGTCAACCGTGACTATGGGACCTGTAAGGGGCCCGAAACGTTGGTTCATTTGAAAAACAAATATACGCGATTTAAATCCAGCGCTTCTTGTTCAGGACGAACAAGTCACTTCGTATCAAAAAAAAAAATTACCTTCCCGCTGTGCAGCGCGTCGTTGAGGGAGGCGACGAGGGCGTCGACGGCCTTCTCCTGCTGCGGCGCCAGTCGCAGCGGCGCGTACCAGCCGCTGTCGCCCTCCCCCGCCACCGCGCCACACGCTCCCGCCCGCATCTCGCCCGTCTGCAGGCTCTCGCCGAACACCTGCGGACCAACTATATTTGCAAACCCCACCCGGCCAAATGAAAGCCCTGCAGCTTGATTTTGATTGCCTCTCCCGATCGGAAGCTGCGTCTTTTCCGAGTCGAGGCGCATAATTGCGATTCACAACTGGCCGATCGGAAACTTTTGACATTTTTAATCGGAATAATAGTTGATTTAACTCACAAATTAGAACGATATTGTAGGAATCAGGTTCATCTTCTCGCTCGGAAACCCATCTGATTTCGAGACTACCCGATCCGTTCGATGATAACTTAAATCAAAATCAGGATGCTAGTGTCCAAGATCAAATCTCAAAATGGGTTTCGAAATGCGCAGGATTACACGTTTCACGCTCACGCACACCGCGAACGAAGCTAAGCTAACTTAGATTAGCTCACGTAGCCGGGGCACCTTTTCATACTTCGGTTCACGCCGCGAATTAAGCTAATCGAGCTAACTAACCTAACGATCCCGCTAGCTATGTAAAATATGTCGCCCTTCTGCCGCACTTCACCCCCGCACGTATCCATAGTCACTACTTACTACGTATTTTCTTAGCTTAGCTTTGCATGCAACTACGTGAGCTAAGTTAGCTAGCTTCGTCCGCGGTGTGCGCTGCGTTATGTCAGGTCGATTGTTGAGTATAGAGTCGAAACAAAAAAAAAACAAATACATTATCGAATTCACTTACGTTACGATTAATTTGATAAATCCAAACGAAAATTATTCTCCTTTATCATTTAATTTTATTTAATTTCAGCGCTTTTGTTCTAGAGCACATGTCAGTTAAATGTAAAAATAAAAAATCGAAAGTAAATCATTTGGCATACAAACAACAGACAACAGAGTAGAAGCGTTCTAATTGGCCGTATTGCCAAGATCTTAGATTTTAATTTTTCTTCAATAGTTCAATTTTCCGTCACTTTTTCGCGGGAAATCGTTATACTGTTACGGTGGCTATTTTGAGAACTCCAAAAGACAACACAAATTAAAAGTCCATACAACCTCAAACGGCTTTGGCTGTTTGGTTGTTGGTTGGGAAAACTACATAGTAAAATTAAGGATATATATACACTGATTACTATACGATGTGAAAACACGGTTGTTAAAAATTTTCACTATAGAAAAAAAACACAAACTTACCTCCAAATTTTACAAGTAAACCGCTGTATTAAATAGGCATTTTACATATACTAATGATTTTTTTTATATCAACTTAACTAAATAGAACACGTATAGTGTACGATATACGTTTTTCATATAGCTGTAATTTCGTTTGTTAAACGAAATAAATTCTGAAATAAAGCCGCCGCTCGACCCAAGCAAAATGAACCGTATTAGTACGGGAAAAAATTTAATTCTTGCTGAGATTGTATCAAACGAGTAAACATGTCTATAACATGGCTACAGAACTTCCACTTGCACTAAACTTGATTTTTTTTATAATATCTAGTGATGGGACGAACAAGTCGTGCGCCTGATGGTAAGCTACACGCCTGTCCATAACATTTGCAGTGCCACTCAGAGCTTTAAATCGCGAAGATCTGAGGGGCACTGGCACTCTCACCCTGAGACATACGTTGACAAGTCCCATGTGCCTGTAATTTCACCAGATCTTAAACTTTTGCGTGCAATGCAAAAGAAGCTGTACGAGCTGCTTGTCTCGTACAATAGTATGTGAGAATATTACAACGCAATATATTAAGAGTGTCTTATCAATATAAGTAGTTTAAGACGTACTTAAGTTTAGTGTAAATGGAATAATACCAATAAGTATATTACCTGGTTCATTTGATCCGAAGGGAAATAGTGATGCTTAACGAGTTGTAATATCTGCCGTCGTCGCGACGTATTCGAGCTTGTCAGACCGGAGCATAGTAGCTTACGAACCTAGAAAGTTCAAAATAAGTACAGATGTGCATGGGGCGCGATACGTCATAAACTGTAGAAAATATTTCTTACGGCCTGTCCCCCTAAAATTACAAGGGTTTAAAAATTTACGACCATGATACCAACTTCATAGTAGTGTAATGTCTGCCAAACTACCACACACACATTTTTGAGAAACTGCCAAAATAAATGAAACATATTTTGTTTTTCATATCATATAGAATATAGTCATGAAGACTGGTGGGGCACTAATAAGGGGGTACTTTGTCAGTTTTCCATAAAAATACTTTTATAGAATTTAATATTTACTGACGATGCTAAATGTAAGAATCATAGTTGTATTGTCAGAATTACAGCAATGAGATACCTCGCTTATATCATTCAATTCGTTTGAAAAAGGGTTCAAGTTTCTTTGCTGCTGACTGTGCATTCCATATGGTAATATCATACAGAAAATTACTAAAATTTTATAACAATAACGTGCCAGACAACCACTTCAATAGATAATTCAAGGAATTACTTTGTTTGAGACCAGGTGGTCGCAGACAAGATAATTCCTTGTACATGAATAATGTGAATTATCAATGATACATATCACTTCGAATTCTGCACGTAACAAATTTTTTTAAATTTCATATATACATAAGTATATATGAAATTTAAAAAAACAAAAAGTCGGTTAATTCCATCGAGTATATAACCAGAAATAGAGACCAAATGTCATTTAATTTCAATTGTTAATTGACGGGTGTCGTCAATTGTTTCACTTCAAATTGGCCAGTTTAACTTGAGCTTTGCTATAATGAACGAAAATTGAAATTTTACATATTTAAAATTAATTACCAATAAAATGTTTGTTTACCGATGAATTGTTGATTCCGTTTATTTTGTAATTAGATGTTTTCCCATATCACCGAATGGAACAGCGCCCCAAAGTTAGATATTATCTCTATTACAATAAATACAGCATATTTTTGAAATATATGGAGACGTACACACAGGTCAGTTATCAGCGCTGTACTATTTCAGCTTCCTAATTTGTGATTTCAGTGCAAACGAGACTTGATTTTTAAGTGATATAAGGCTCGTTCGCCTGATGAATTGCCAGTGATGGAAGACCCTTATTTCGCCTCTATTTCTGGTTACATACTCGATGGTTAATTCGCTCGTAGAATTTTTATACTCCTCTCCTAAAAAGTTGTCATTTTAAAATGCATCTAAATTACACCAATGAGTTGCGATTTTAAATTATAAAAATTAAACATTTACCTGGTGATGAGCTAGTAGTCGATTTAGTGCGGCCTCCCAATGTTTACAGACAGGTGCGAGGCATAGAGCAATACGACATCCGAGTACCACAGCATGTTGAGCCTGTTCCACGCCTATAGGGCCATTCTGAAATGTAACAAATTCCATCATATGTAATGACGAATTTAAGTAACATTTGAGGAAAATAAAAAAATAAAAAAATACGTAATAAAACGAAAATTTAGTTTTTCATATTCACACCTCGGAATTTTTATGTTCAAAGGGCGAGTATACAAAAATATTGTTAAATTTTTCCAGGTTTCACGGAAGCAAACAACAATTTAAAAAATTAAAAAATATTAATGTTAAAAGTTATATTTTGTTCTACATCGACTTTCTTACCAGCGACACCTGGCGAGCTCCGTAACACTACAACGCGGTATACTACGTCCCATCGAGTAGTACGTGGTAAACTCGCTAGGTGGCGCTATACATATCAATAGTTGATTCATATCAGCTAGTTTGTTCTTGTCAACCAATGACATTTTAAAGGGCTAGATAATTTTTTTGATTATTAACAAGATGCTCTCAAAAAAAGGTCATATGAGAGTAAGTCAAGAATATGAAGTATTATGAAGTACAGAGCTGGCTACAAAGAAAATTTTTAAAGACTAAATAATACATAAAAACTTCATACATGTGAAGTATACTGCAGAACACTGTAGAGAGCGTCCTCAAACGTATCCGGCGTTATTTCTTGCAGGACTCGTTCTTGCATTTCAGACGTTTCGCATAGTGCGCCTACGGCTTGTAGCTGGAACATTCAAAGTTAGTAGCTGTAGGGTCTTTGCGAAAAAGTTAAATAAAAGAAGTAGTACCACTGTGACTATTTCTGCAACATTATATATGCACTTTTATATATAAAATATGAAACTGCCATATAGCTTATCTATTAACTTCTTATTATAACATGTTATATTATAAATGTTACATGTTACATTTTAACGTGTTACGGAACCTGTAGCAGTAATCGTCTAAATAAAAGATGAATGTTACCCATTGTAGACCCGATTTTCCTGGCTCCAAAGCCGGCGGTACCAGTAAGCTGGGCAGGCCGTTGCACATCACCGATATTAACTCTATCGGCAGGCGGCCGTCATCTGGAAATTCATTATAAATCATCGTGAGAGGCAGCGCACACGGTCTCTTAGTGTAAGAACAGTCCTTAGATAGATCGAAATGTAACGAACTGTTTTGTGAGTTTCATTAATATAATTAGTAAGGATTACTAACTAACACAATATGGATATTTGTCCAAAATAAAATTTATTATTATTATTTACATAAACAAAGATATCACACACATAGACGACCACAAATCACACCCAAACTCCCAACACACTCAACATAAATAAGATATAAAAGTAGAACTCTACGTGGCAGTCCAGTATGGTAACCGTCCGGCCACTGAGGCAGTTAAAATAGGTAATGATCTTCAACTGTTTTCTTTTTTATTTTCACAGCCTCGTGGACTTTCTGGTTCGCACTGTAAACGCTGAATAATGTGGATCCGGATTTGACTCCTCACCCAATTTGAGAAATGAACTTTTCTAAATCTCTTCGGATCTAAGTGTTCTGGTTGCTCTGGTCCATACAGACTGATATTTAGCAATAAAGTATCCTAATGTACCTTGTATTTTGTATGTCTAATATTTGTATCCTAAAAGAAACTTATGCAAATGTAAATTGAAATCTTGTACAATGTTACGTTACGTCAATGTTAAGGCTATGGGTAAGACGACGTCTCCTAACTGCTCTATTTGTAACAAGAGGGAGGACGTATACCATGTCCACGTGGAGTGTGTCCGGAGCGAGGATGAGAGGCTTCAGTCAAAGTCAAAGTCAAAGATTATTTATTCCATAGGTAAAATAGATTTACACTTGAAAACGTCACATTTAAGCTACTGCTCGTTCACTACGCTAACCTCCCTGAGAAGAACGAGCAAGAAACTCTAGGGATTGCTCTTTTCAAATGAACTTAAATGCTATGGAATACACTTTGAATCAAATTTGTGTGGATTCTGGAGCCATGTCGTCTTTCCATACATCTTTATCTAACACGTAGTCTTCAATTTTGTAATATGATTTTTCAATTTAAATATTTTTAATGTAGTTTATAAACTTAGGAAATGATAAACTTAATATATGCTCCGGAATCTTATTGTAAAAACGTATACAGTTCCCCATAAAAGCGCATATATATTATACATAAAATATTTGAGTAAATGTACTGTGATGCCACAGTTACGCATCAAATTCAACTTGCAAATTATAATTGTGGGTATGTGTTAACAGCATACTGCCCAAACCTACGTCCAAAGTCGCCAGAGCACTGTACCGCATGGTACAAAAATGTATAACATGTAGATAATTATCAGTATTTATGTATTGATTTGTATGTAGTGTGTTTGAGTAGTACTATGTACCTATGGGAGTGGCATATTCTATTTCTTAATTAAGTTTATTCTTATAAACCCTCTAATAAATAAAGAAAAAAAATGTTACCTAGGTACCTATATTGTGTTTTGCTTTAGTACCTTTATACTGATTGACGATGGCGGCAAATAACTCAAGTGACTCTGGCAGACAGATGGGACTGGCTTTCATACACAGGCAGACCAGCTGGCAGTGGTGGCACCTTAGAGAATATAAGTCTGAAATGTGATGTACATTTTTTATTTATAAGTGCCGTATAAAACTTATTGAAGCATTTAAATTTTTACTGAATTGATATTCAATTATTTTTTATGTGAATTTACACCACTAGTTTGTTACAATTATTAAAAAATTCTTTCGATCCGGCCGGATTCGAACCGACGTCTTCTAGCATACCGTGCCAAACGCTAAACCAACTAAGTCACGGAACGAATCAGTGGACCTCACGAATTCTTCTATGTGCTTGCGTCATATCTTTGTATTTGGTTTTTAACCAAAAAAACAACAGTTTGAATCGGTATTAAAACTTTATGCGTATGTTGTATGGTAACTTTATTTTGTATTAAAAGTTTTATTTTCGCGAAGCACTATACCAGATTTCTATTGAATTATAATAAATAGACTTTGTTTAACGTTGCTTTTCTTAGCGTCCGATCGTTGTATCAATAATATTAGCACAAATAGGTTTATATTTGTTTGTTACCTAAATTAACGAGCACGGTGAGGAACTTTAGAATGTTGCGGACACAATTGCTTATTACTTCAGGCTCCGTATTGGTATTTGGCTGTATCTTGAATAGGACGTCTACCTCCTGGGAATAGAGATAAATTACATTTCTAATAAAAGAAAAGATAATTTTCAATCAGAAGCGAGTTTATATTTCAATGTTCATGCTGTTGATAGTAGTAGCAAGCATCTTGGACGTTCATATACAGATCATAAGTGCAATTAGTTAAATTTTAGCAGTAGAGCAGTAGAACTTATAAAAGAATTCCTAAGTACGGCTGTCAAACAGTAATGTTAGCATGAAGCTGGATTTACATTACGTGTCGTGTCGCGTCAGAACGGTATCGGTTTCGACACGACACGTCACGTCAGACAAATGTAAATCCGGCTTGTATTTCGGTTTTGAATGGCAAGGGTACTGGTGAAATTATTGGCACATGGGACTTGTCAACTTGTTTCAAAGTGACGGGCGCACCAGCGGTGCCCCTTATGATCTTTGTGATTTCAAGCTTTGAGTGGCACTGCAACTGTCATGTACCAGGCGCACGACTTGTTCATCCCATTGTCGTTAATGTCGTTAAAAACAAGTGTGGGATCACGACGGAAAATTTGCAACGCCAAATAATTCATTAGAAATAATGAACAAAAAGAACAGAGGAATTAATAAGTGGACCGAAAGGTAACATGACATTTCCCAAAATTATTCATTATACATTCTTCTAGACTAAAAAAAGGGTATTCCAAAGCGCTTTGTATAAGTAGCGAAAATTGCCCACATAACATTGTGTAATACAACAGGATTTACCTATTTATAATTAAATTGACTTTATCGAGTTCTTAGGTTTTCGCGATTGTTACACATAGGAAATGAAACTGTTTTCTCGGATTTAAATCGCGTAAATTAGACGTGATGGGTGGATGGATGGTCAGTCAACCGTGATCATGGGACCTGTAAAGCTCCCGAAACGACGGTTTGTTTGAAAAACAAATGTACGCGATTTAAATCCGGAAAAACAGTTTCATTTCTTATAAGCTGACTTTTTTATAATAATCACTTAAAATTTCAATTTACTATTTGGTTATATTATTAACATAGTTAAGTCAAATCTAAAAAAATGTTATCATTTATTATATTTATATTATCTTCCGTATTTGTTTAGTGTTGAAATGATTGTTTGTTTAGTTTATACAACATGAAAATGGCGTCAACTGGCTGGTTAACGTATCCGCGGCATCGTCTAAGTTATAACTGAAAATCAGGGGTTTGCTCCACATATACATAACTGGGTGTTCTGCAGTGCTGCGACTCCGATGGGTTTTTCTTTTTCTTATATTACATATTTTTCTGTTACGTATGTGTGTCTGTAGATCCAAACATATATATATATATATCTTAGTATTGCATCACTTGGATAATGCAAACGTTCTCATCATAAATTCCAGTCATGTAACCCTATAGGCACCGCAATTTAGGTTAAACGAATTATATTTAACTTAAAATAATTCAACAATTCAACAAATTTTTATTTTAAAGCTAAAAATCTATAAAATACCTTTTATTTTATTTTTTTTATAATAGCTAGTGACGAGATGAACAAGTCGTGCACCTGGTGGTAAGCGACTAGCCTATGCATAACAGTAGTGCCATTCAGTGCTTTAAATCGCAAAGATCTTAGGGGCACTGCGACCGTCACCCTGAGGCGTAAGTTGACAAGTCCCATGTGCCTGTAATTTCACCCTTACCCTCTAAACTGGCACGCAGTAATACTCACATTACTGCTTGGCGGCAGAAATAGGTAAGGTGGCAGTACTACCTTGGACGAACCCTTTCACAAGGAGCTGTACTGCTAACAACTTAACACAATATCAAGTTTGCGTTCCAGTTTTGAAGGGTGCTGGTGTAATTACAGGCAATAGATAGGCGTGTCGTTTACCATCAGGTACACGATTGTTCGTCCCGTCACTTATGTCCACTTGCACTAAACTTATGTATGCATTAAACCAATGCTTGCAATACATAACCTCAGTAGAGTGCTAAAAAACCGACATCAATGTCGTTCATTCCCTAGTTTGCCACCCTTAGAAGTGGAATATTTTCTTAAAATTGAAATGGGACTACTACTGAGGTACCATCTTTCCAACAAAAAAAGTATCATCAAATTCGGTTGACAAATCGTTATCACTTAACATTTATACAAAAAAAACAAACAGTCAAATTGAGAACCTCCTCCTTTTTTTGTAGTTGGTTAAAAAGACAGAAGAGTGCTATCAATTCAAGCATTGGTTTAAGATGTACTCAGGTTTAATGCAAGTGGATGTTAGTACCATAATAAATTTCTAATTATTGAATTAAGGTAAACCGATTCTCACATGGCGCAAGTGTATTGCATAGTGTAAGAAAATATCGTCCCTTATTATTTTTTTACAGACGTTGGTCTAATTCACCTGTAAGGCATCCTGCAATGGGCCACTGAAATTTGGATAAGTGACCACCATACTGCACAGATTGTTGTCAGAGCACAGATCGTGGAGGAATGTATAAGCATGGAGGATTTGGGTATCATCGCGTTCACTGGAATCAGAGTAAAGATACTATAATCTTAATAATAATTAACCTTTTGAACAACAGAATGTCAACTGTCAGTTTTAGCACGGATCTTATTAAACACCCACGCATCCCACGCTTACCTAGATTTAGGTCACCCTTCAAATAAATGCTCATTAAAAAATAACTAGACAACTTATCTTAGTTCTGTAAACGGCACCGACTAATAATTTATTATAATAATATATAAGAAAATGTAATGTAGAAAAGTAATATCTACAATGAGCGTAGTAAAAACGAAAAGAAAGTGTCAAAAATCATGGTTTCTCTAAAAGCATATCTTTATAAGAAACTACGCCTACTTTCTTTGAAATTTAATAAAATTAAACAATAAACAAACTCTATTTATTATATATCGAGTAAACATCGCGTTAATAAGAAAAAACTTTAAAATATATACTAACATAACAGCCTTATAAAAGGTGCGCATAGTGCAACAGAGATAGCTGTGTACGTCGAGCTGGCGCGTAGAGCCCCTACCACGAGTGGCCCCGGACAGACAGAGCAGTAGGCGGCATACTTCCACACCGCCGTAGCCACCATCCTGAGAAAATACATTAAACTTTATACAAAAAAGAATAACATTTTTTTTAATATCCCCCCATTAGGGAAACCCTGTATCGCGGGTGCCATGGACATACGTAGACATCCACAAATTACACCCAAAATCACGAGAGATATAAATGTAGGTCAAATATTTCTCTCGGCTCAGGGATCGATCCCGGGACCTCTGCATGGCAGACCAGCATGGTAACTGTTTGGTCCCAGAGACAGTTAATCAATAACTGGACAATAACACAAAATAATAATAGTTAGCCTACATATAGACCCCTGTTTGGCACAGGTCTCCTGTAACAATGGGACGGCTTGGCTGGTAGTTTCCACAGTGGCCCAATGCGGATAGGCCAATTCATACACATCATAATTTTATTTTGTATCCATCTGTGATCAGTCCTTGAACCATAAACAGATCTGTGCTACAGTGTAAAGAACATCATTAAATTGGTTTGCAGATGCGTGCAGGTTTCCTTAAGATATTTTCCTTCACTGAAAAGCTCATGATAAATTTCAAACTAAAATTTCGCACATAAATTCAAAGGTACAAGACTGGATTCAAACCTACAATTCTTTGCTTGAGAGCTGGTAGGTCAAACACTTACGACTATCGCGGCTGTCTGTGAGACAAATAATGACAATATAATGCCTACCTATATAAAACAACCTACTTTTTTTTGTTTTTAGATCTAAATCTTGCAACAGTAAAGTATGTTTGAAAAACAAATTATATGCAATATAAATCCGAAAAAATGGTTTCATTTCCTATGTGTAACATTTGCGATAACTTAAAAAAACTTAATTTAACAACCTCTAAGGTTGACAGGCTTGCTTGTAGCCATCTCTGAGATCCCAAGTTCGATCACCAGCCAGGCCAATGTAGAAATTAATTATTTCTATATTGTTTCAGGTCTAGGTGTTGTGATGCCATTGTTGTTTCCGATTGCCATAACACTCGTGCTTTAGTTACTTTGGGATTAGAGCAACATATGTGATGTTGTCTATTATATATTTATTTATCGATACCTATATTTATTTCAATATATACTTCATGGTTTTTGCAAATGTTCTGGGCATAGCAAATGTTCTCAGAATATACAAATTTATGTAAATGTTTAAAAATAAACATGAAAGTAAAGCATTTTAAACTTAAATAGAATTTACTTAGTTACCTTCAAGTTCACAAGATGTCCAACAAAATCTTTAGTGTCCACAATTCGCATGAGTGCATAAATGGCTGGCAGGTTGCCATAACATAAATTGACCAGCACTGTCAGTGACATGTGACCAATAGTGCGGTACTGGGGGTCACTCATTGGCTGCATTATGAAATCTGTCAGCTCCTTCATTAAGCCAGAAAGGTAGGACTCCTGCCAGCTTATTTTTATACCATATGAGATGTCCTAAAAATTTAGCTAAGATAAGTTTCATCTTTTAAATTCAACATGTTCTATTTACTTCATGCTTTCTTGAGTCATGTGGTATCCCAAACAATTTTGGTCTATGTTTTCATCCACCAATAAAAAACACCAAAATTGTCCAGGACTCTGTGTCTCTACATGTGATGGGTTAACATATTATATTCTACTGTGTTAATAAGCTTTTGATATTTTTCTTTTCTTTTAACAAGTAATCAGTCCAGAGATTATGTACAGCTGTTTCTTGTGGTAGTTGACGTTTGTTGGCAATCTTTCTTAGTGTTGGTGTCCATTAATAAATTTTTCAAACTTTTTTGATTTTTTTTTCAAATTTTTATGTAAAAAAGTTTAATAAAGATATTTATTAAAGTTTGTTATGCTACTATAGTAGAGTAATTTTTATACTTTACCTGCATTACACTTAAAAGTTTTATTTTCTTGTCATTTGATATCGAATCTGATAGCAAGCGTGCTAATATTGGCATGAATCTGAAAACATTGTAAACATTATATTTCATATATTTGTACAATAATACAGTTATAATAATGGTGATGTATTTGCAGGGAAGTGGGTTGCATCCCACAAACATGCTTACTTTTAATAAATCCAGGTTTTAAGTTCAATACATACAATTAATTAAACTATATTGATATATGCGTATATAATAATGGTGCACACAAACTGTTCTCTGTACAGTCATAATTTGACATCAAAATATAACAAGGACAAACAATTTAAAAAAAATCATTCAACTTACTAAGTAGCATTTAAAACACAACCATGCTTAAATTTCCCTCATTCATTTATGATGAAATAGTTCATCCAAATTCATTACATAGTTAAAAGTAATACCAAAGAAACAGAAATATCTAAATATATGCACTTAAATATTGAACACTGCAACACTTGTAAATCTTTATTACATACTTATGTATTTTTGTTAATCAAATAAACATCAAAGGTATATAAGTATAGGCACTACCTGTAGGGATGATATTGTAATACTGTGGCTAAATCATACTTATTTAAACTTATGCTTGGGCTGTATGAAAGGGGGCATTATGAAAACTGGATTTTCCACTATAATTTTCTTGGAAGCTATAGACCACAGAAAAAAATTATAATAACATTGTGTTTATTTAAGCTTGATTTATCAGAAACAAACATTAAAAACTATTTTCAACAAAGTTTAAAATTTTTTTTTTTTAATTTTAACATGTATTCATAGTGCCTGCGCGTTCCTACCGATTGACCAAACTTACTTGTATGTATGGGTAAGAGCGTGTCTCGCACTGGGTTCTATGCAAGCTCGCGTGAGCACAGCTACCCCAGCCCAACTTGGGCTGCGACTGTCGCACATCACACGCCATAGCGAACTGAAGAACGCACATACTTCCGACCGACCAGGGGAAAATATTGTTAAATCACATGACGACGCTATTATCTGTATCAGAAACGGGGGCAATATCAAACAATTTAAATAGAGATATTTTTTTAATATAAGTAAACACCGATAGTAAGGTAACATAAGTTATTTGAAGATATTGAAATACTTACACCTAAATACCGAGTCATCAAGTTCACAGCAGTCTCACTATGTGTGGCTTCAAATTCACGAGCAGCAGTTACAAAAGCTTTCAAATTAGCAAACTTTCCTCCATCTGGAGGATTGCTGTTTATACTTTCTACTTCATCGACTAGTTCTTTTTGAACTCCATCGACTTCCATCATTTTAAACAACAAACACTGCCACTTCTTTGTATATAATACACCAATAATTGAAAAGAATAAAATTACACGAAAATCACGGCCTAAATACTCAAAACATAGGAAAAAATAATCAAAAACATAACAGACCGAAATCGTTCAGCTTGTTGCAGTTTCAATTTCAACTGTTTTCTAACGTCAAACAGCCATAATAAATGTTTATGATATTGCTACGTTGCCATTGGTCCATTTCCGCATCACAGCATTCATAGTCAAGTTATTCTATAAAAAAAAAAGTCTACAGACGGGTTTAGTTAGTTTCAACACTTGCCTAGTTTCTAGTTTCTACTTAAAATCGATCGATTTAAACTCTGCAGCATCAACACCTTAATTTAGAGAAATCCTCTAAGATCGACGAAAAAAATGGCGGATTTTCGAAGTTAGGAGTACAGTTTTTACAAAGATTATTTTGTCTTAATTAGATTATGAGGAAAAAACGAAGAAAGGAATAGTGATGAAGAAAGTTAGAATTATATTCCTTATTTTAAATCAAATTACAAAAGGCTTTATCCTGAAAAATCCTCTAATTACGATCTAAACGTTTTTGTTCAAAGTAATAGAAGATAATGTGATTTGTGAAAGTAAAACATAAATATTGACTCCCACCGCTTAAAAGACTATTTAAAAAACCCAAAGAAGTGTTAGAATTAGAACTACGATAGAAAATATTACTGAGAATCCAGATAATTAAACGAACACATGGTTCAAAGTACTTGTATCCAAGCCAAAACTAATAAAAAAATAAAAAAATCTAAAGATCAACACACACAGGCACAAAATTTTTTTTTTTACTTACAGCAGTCAAACCAAATGTCATCAACTTGCCAAAAAAAGAATTTCACCTCGACATTAGTGGTTTTTGTGAAGAAAACATTGTTTCATTGAAACTTATTATTTTAGACTTGTTTTTCTTCACCTTTCGTTCTATAACATACAATGGGCGTAGACGTTGAAACTATTTCTCCTGGCAATGGTTAGTAAATGTTGGATACACACGTGACACGTTATAAATATAACCTATTCCGGTGAATTATGCGTATATTAATGTTTATTTTTTAGGCTCTACTTATCCTAAAGCAGGACAGACTGTGGTTGTTCACTACACGGGGACGCTGCAGAGCGGGAAGAAGTTCGATTCTTCAAGGGATAGGGGCCAGCCCTTCAAGTTCACTCTAGGCAAAGGCGACGTGATTAAGGGTTGGGACCAAGGAATTGGGAAAGTGAGTATGTTTATTACTAAAGAGCGGTGAACCTGAACCATTCATAAAGCCCACATGACATGCTGTTTGAATGAAGAATACTAAGTGAACAGGTAAATAAGCCGCATGGTAGCCGAACGGTTACCATGCTGGACTGTCCTGCTTGGTAACTGTCCTGGACCTCTGTATGTATGTGTGTATCCGTGGCACCCACATAACGGTTTCCCTGATGCAAGGCTAAAAAAATTGTGTTTTCAGATGTCCGTTGGGGAACGAGCAATGCTGACCTGCACTCCAGACTTTGCCTATGGCTCCAGAGGCCACCCTGGTGTCATCCCGCCAAATTCCACCTTGATTTTTGATGTAGAACTTTTGCGTGTTGAATAATGCATTTATTTTATTTTACTTATTAAGCAGTTATAATTAAATAAGTCTGTTATGTTGCTGCATTTAATATTACAAGATTTCACAAATTTAAAGACTAAACCGCATCTTCCATAGATGGTTACTTGCTTTGTTATGCATAAGAAAACTTTTATATTTGTGTAATGTATTTATTGAAAAGTTTTTTCTAAAATGTTGATGCCACATGATTGAATGTCAGCCACACAATGTTTTGCAGGTGTATTGCAACAATGTGCAGATGTTTCAATATAATGTTGTATAGATATAATGTCACAATAATATTGTGCATCATAACATTATCAGAAGAGCGGCAAGACTTTAATTTTATTTAAAATCTATCTCAAAGTAGTGAAGTCCATAGCGAAGCAGTGATGTTCACTTTCACAAAACTTTCATTCTTTTCCATATGGAATAAAAATTTAGTAAAAATAATTAATTCAAATGATTCCCTGATGGAGATTGTTGTGATTTTATAATATGCATTAAAATTATATGCTACAAGATGTCGATTCAAATCCGGCCGGATCATAGGAATTCTTTTCTAAGTGTTCTCAGATCTTTGTATTAATAATTATAACTAACTAATGGACTAATTTCATAAATATCAATTCAATAAAAATTTAAATAAGTGAATAGCAATATCTCTAGCCAGGGCTGGTAGCTGTAAAACATACTTTCATAGATTTCTCATAGATGGCGCTACGGCTAAAAAGTCGTTGAAAAACCTAATACAAAGACTTGACAACAAGCACATACAAAATTTCGTGAAGTATGCTCACGAAATTTTCTATGCTGGTTCATTCCGTGGCTCAGTTGGGATAGCGTCTAGCACAGTCTGCTAGAAGATGTCGTTTCGAATAATTGCATTTAAAATGTACAAAATTGTGGTCTTTGATATATGCATTTTTTTTAATAAATATAGGTACATGATATACTTAATTTGCATTTTATGCTGCTTTACAATCTCATTCAAAATAATGTACATACATACATAATGTGTTTGCTAAAACTGAGAGTACTTGAGTAATAGAAATTTTATTTTAATATTAACAAGCATGTTTATTTTATTTAATGTTATTAAAAAAATTGATTTGTGTAAAATTTTATGTTTTATTTATATAAAAATGATAATAAAACATCTTATAATGAAAATCACCTAATATGACATTATTCTATATAATGTTCAATATATTTTTATTACATAAGTAAACTATTTCAGAAGGCACTCCAGACAATTTTCACAATGTTTAACAATACCCTTTACTATATAATTAAACAATTGCATCACATTTTATAAAACAATAATAATAAGTATCTTTGGTCTAAAATACTTTTGCCGTTACAATCATAGGGTTTACCATCAATTGAATAAATACCACCAGCTGGCTCTTTAATTGGTTAGTTTCTTGATATTTAGATAAACTGTTCATGGACGAACTGTTCAGTGTCTACTGTAACATTTAATATTAGAATATGATAGTATGAGGTATTCTGTATTGCTACATGGAACTCAAAAAACCAACTACATGATTTACAGTGTGATTTTCAAGTGCTTTCTGTGTAGTTGCCGCCTACGTGTTTCCATATACAAGTATCAACAATGATTTACATACATTAAACATTTTATATTGATTCAATATAAGCACTACGGCTAGAAGGTACTGACGTTTTAGTGTGGCTACTATGAAAGAGTTACGGAAATATACAACTAAAAAACCCTGACAACAACAGAACTAACCTCACAAAGTACCAGGGTAATAATTCATCAATGGAACAACAGAGTTCTTAGTAAACGGAGTCCTGCATAATGCACAGCTTTCCAAAGGTCCATAGCTACAATTCATACAAAACACATGACCACAAGGTAAGACACATGGCTGTGCCATTTCTTCTAAACATGCTACACACGATTTACTACTATCTACATCAGCAGGAATGTCCCGCAATTGATCCATGTGTTTTTTAGCCTGATATAGACTCTGACCACATGAAATAAACGCATGTAGTAATGTAACAATGCCTAAAAGGCGTAAATGAGCATAGTACGCAGCGGCTGCTGGCCTTACATGTACGTAATCTATCCCAGCAATGGTTTTCCCAATCTGCAAAGGTCCTCCGTTAATATAACTAAGTGCACGATGTATACTTTCAATTTGCGGTAGCATTGTGTTTATGGCTTTTAAAATTAGTATGAAAGCATTCTGCGCATCGGAGCGTAACGTGCTGTTGTTTTCTACAGACTTTTCAGCATGACGGAGTAACCTTCTGGTCAAGTTTTCCCCAACACAAGAAAGTAAAATGCTTAATAACCTCGCACTAAAAGATGGTAATTTGTGATACGTTTCGTCCACTTGAACTATGCCTGAGTATTCTTCACCAAGAGTTTGAAGGTCCTTTAGTGTGGTAAAAGACTTATAGAGTATGGAAGATAAGGGAACAGCCTTTGAAGCTATGTGTGATGGCATAAGTCTTGCTAATGATTCTGCTAGTTGTTTCTCGTAAGAATCATCCTTCTGCCAAGCTCGTAGCACTTCAGCGGGCTGCGCTGTTGGCAAAGCCATAGTTTACTTTCCTAGAAAACACTTGTATTGCCGATAAATTACGTTAACGACATTATTTACGTGTAATTGTAAAGATGTTTTTTATTTAATCCACAGATTACTATATACTATAACTCTTTCTTTGTTTTTTTGGTACGTTTTTCCATTAGAAAAGGCAAAGGCATTAATGCGCCATACAGCCAAGACTGAGAGTAATTTCTTTCTTAGATTCCATTACAAAATGTCTTCAACATTGCTTCATACGAAATGATATAAAGTTGGATAACATTCTTGATTTTTCAGAAGATTCAGGTAAAATACGCGGGATGTTTTCATTTGGCCTATTCATTCACTATCAAGTTGTCTACGCACTGAGAGAATGTAGATTTGAAAAAAAATCGTGCAACGGCATTGACTTAATGTGCAACGGTGGAAATTTTTCAAATTGAAATAACAATTTTGAATCGGTTTCAACTTGAGCTTATGTTTCAAGATTTTAAAACTGAAACCTTTTTTACATAGGAAACACCTAGCGAGGAGAGCTGAATAAACTATGAACTTGAAAAACAACCACGAGGAAATCCATTTTTGTAATTACGAGAGACGGCTGATAGGTTCGCAGCCTATCTAGCAATGTGCAGATAACACTAATAAAATTGCGTGAGTTGATTGTGTTATACAGGGTGTAACAGAAAGGTGTAGTCGTATTTCAAGTTCATATTTAGTTGAAGCAGTGAAACAATGGATATTAATCATTGACCTAATGATATTAATTAATACTTTATTTCACTTGTTATTTATGGAAATTTCAGGTCGCAAAATTTCGATCAGCTGATCATCATTTTAACTGCCTCTGTGGCCGAACGGTTACCATGCCCGATTCTAAATCTAATCTAAGGATCGTATTCCAGAACTCTACTCAATACTCAAGTCAGGACTTGAGTATTGCAGTGAGCACTGAAAATCATACTCAAGTCGTCCATTAGGGTCGTATTTCCGGTGCTTGAAATCATACTCAAGTCTGTTCAAATCCTGACTTGTGAGATTAGACTGTCCATACGTGAGGCACTGCTGTGAATTGCATGTTTCCAGCAGTGTCTATTATGTATAATTTTGTACTTACTAACATTAGTATTAAGTGGTGTGTTACTAACAAAACTATGTGTCAATATGTACATGAATTAAATAAATTGAATTGAATTGAGTAGAGTTGTAGAATACGACCCTAAAACTGTCACGCAGAGGTCTCAGGTTCGAATATTTTTATGGCCTACATTAATTTCTCTCGTGAGTTTGGGTGTACTTGTGGTTGTTTATGTGTGTCCATTGCACCCGCGACACAGGGTTTCTCTAGTGCGGGGCTGTGTTGAGTAAGTGTATCCCCGAAACTGGTAACACGCGTTGCACAGCTCTGGTCCAACTGGCCCATAATGTCATTGTAATTGACGTGCAAGTGCTAGATATTTGTTTTCTTTCACAATTTGTATTATAGGCGACCTTATGTGGCCCATTTACAATTAAAATACACGGATGTCATGTCAATAAAATGAAGGTAGAAGAGCAAAACAAAAACTATTTTATCAACAGTAAAAAATATAATATAAGTACGTGTAAAGAAAAATATTTCACTTGAGAAGGCTATATTGAAATTTTTAAAACATATTTATATTCCTATATTAGCTTTAGTTTTCTTTCATTAAGAACAGATTCAAGAGCACATCTAGAGCTCTATGCCATTTATAATAAGAACGATCAGTAAGCCGCCGGTCATAAATGGCAACAAACACGCAAACACTGGCCA